GAGACTTAACTGTTCTGTTCTGTGCTTATCCCTGTATGGGGGGGGGGGGAAGAGAGAGAGAGAGAGAGAGAGAGAGAGAGAGAGAGAGAGAGAGAGAGAGAGAGAGAGAGAGAGGAGAGAGAGAGAGATGGGGGGAGGGAGATGGGGGGAGGGAGGGAGAGATAGAGTTAGATGAGGGAGAGAGAGATGGGAGGGAGAGAGAGAGAGAGACGCACACACACATATACAGAGAGAGAGGGGGAGAGAGACACACACACATACAGAGAGAGAGGGGGAGAGAGACACATACAGAGAGAGAGAGAGAGAGAGAGAGAGAGAGAGAGAGAGAGAGAGAGAGAGAGAGAGAGAGAGAGAGAGAGAGTTAAGATTCATTGTTGCCAGTCCAGCCAATCATAGATTTTGACGACACACAACAAAAAAAGAGGGTAAAGTTGGGAGTATAAAAAGCTGCGCCGCCTGATGAACGCGTGAGGCCCCATGCCAGTGCGCATCATCCCACATCACCCATTCACAAAACACAAAAAATAAACCACCACGCTTCCCCCTCCATTTTCAATTTCCAAGACGATGCATTTGTCTCACACCCTTGGTGTACCTGAGTCTGTTGGTCGCCTTGGGTCCAGTGGGTCTGGGAGACCAGACGGCCCACCAGAACCAGCACCAGGCGCCCACCGCCGCGTCTCCAGTCCTCCCGGACGCGGAGGCGGGCGTCCCCGTCCCGGAGGAGGACCAGTGCTCCACCTGCGAGATGCGCCAGCAGATCAAGACCATGCGGCTGAACGCCATCAAGTCCCAGATCCTGAGCAAGCTGCGGCTCAAGCACGCGCCCAACATCAGCCGCGACGTGGTGAAGCAGCTGCTGCCCAGGGCGCCGCCGCTGCAGGAGCTGCTGGACCAGTACGACGTGCTGGGCGACGACAGCCAAGACTTGGGACTTATGGAGGAGGACGACGAGCACGCCGTGACGGAGACCATCATGCTGATGGCCACCGAACGTGAGTCCTTTCTCTTCCTCCTCCTCCTCCTGCCATGCTCCTGCTGCTGGTGCTGGTGGTGTCCGTGTGTTGTCTCACTGTTATGTTATGTGATGTTATGTTATTAGTTAGGTGTTATTAAGCTGTTATTAATGACCGAGGTGACCCGGCGGACTTTTACGCACCATTTTACGCACCCTTTTACGCACGGGATATTTGCGCGCAACCACGCGTCGGCGGCCGCGTAATCGTTTATGGTTGTGTTTTTGAGGCACATTATTACGCATGAAGGTTTAAAACCCGTGCGCAATGCCGTTTACTCTTGCTCGTTCTTCAGGCGTATTGGTTGGTTTAACACATGTTGGTAGGAGACTGCGTTCATCTCCATCCGTGCGCTTAGACTCCAACCCAGTGCAGCAGCCACACATTTAACCATCTCGCCTTGGTGATGATGGACAGTGGTGATTTTGGTATCTTACAGTGCAAAAATAAACCTGGGACTGTGTTATTTCACCCCCCCACCCTCTCTCTTGAATACAGCCGACTCAGTGGTCCAGGTGAACCGGACGCCGCGGTGCTGCTTCTTCTCCTTCAGCCAGAAGATCCAGGCGAACCGCATCGTGCGCGCCCAGCTGTGGGTGCACCTCCGCGCCGCCCAGGAGGCCACCACGGTCTTCCTGCACATCTCCCGCCTCATGCCCGCCACGGACGGCGGCCGCCACATCGGCATCCGCTCGCTGAAGGTGGACGTGGACGCCGGCGTCAGCTCGTGGAAGAGCATAGACGTGAAGCAGGTGCTGAGCGTGTGGCTGCGGCAGCCGGAGACCAACTGGGGCATCGGGATCAACGCGTACGACGCGAGGGGCAACGACCTGGTGGCCACCTCCGTGGAGCCCGGAGAGGAGGGACTGGTGAGTGTTCATCCTCATGCTATATAGAGAGGAGCATTTCAAGGCCGATGATCATTGAAGTGTTAACTGCATAAACAGTAATATTATATAGCACAGTAGGCTATAGTTGGACTTCAGTAGCTCAGTGCTGTTTTAATTGTTTTTGGTGGCACATGATGATGCGCAATCCGTGCGTTTTGTTACGATGCTGTTCCTAAATTATGACTCCAGGACGCATTGGGTTTGATTCCTGGATTCAATGCTGCAGGAGCATTTCGTTAAGATGCAGCTTTCCCAGCCAGGAGGGGTTGGGGAGGGAGGGGGGCTTGGCCTGCATGTGTTGCCCAGGAGGAGGGAAAGGAGGGAATTAACATTTAAAAGGCTCCACAAAGACAGCACCCTGCGTCTGGACACGAGCCCAGGGTCCACCACCAGCAATCTTTGGCCCCTTTTGCGTAAGAGCGCACCTGCCTCACGTCTCCAAGCGGGGCACTTCTACCCTGTTAATCAGAGTAATTGCCCGTCCACACACATACACACACACACACACACACACACACGCCAGTCAGGCCCACACTATCAGTGACACGCCACACACACACACCGCTCCACAACAACAGGTCCCTGGTCATTGGAGCACTTCAATGAGCGAAGAAAGAAAGAAACCAAGAAGAAAGCTTCATGACATCTAGTCATGTTTGCGGTCACCAGAACCGGTCTACTGAATCAAAACCAGACGAAATATAACAACAAAAAATGATTTTATTGATTTAAAAAATGATTTTATTGCTTCTGCAAAAAATAATTGTCAAATAGTTATATTCCACGGTTGGAAATGATGTCCATAGCAGCGGTCTGTTATTCAGAAATAACATTATTATTGCTATTCAGAAATAATAGACCGTACAATTTTGTAATTCTAATCCCATTTGCCAAACCTTTCTCCCTCTCCGCTCCTGCCCCCCCCCCCCCCCCCCCCTCCCCCCCCATACATATACAGCAACCCTTCATGGAGGTCAAGGTGTCGGAGGCCCCCAAGCGCACCCGGCGGGACTCGGGCCTGGACTGCGACGAGAACTCCCCCGAGTCGCAGTGCTGCCGCTACCCGCTCACGGTGGACTTTGAGGACTTTGGCTGGGACTGGGTGATCGCGCCCAAGCGCTACAAGGCCAACTATTGCTCCGGGGAGTGTGAGTACATGTACCTGCAGAAGTACCCCCACACCCACCTGGTGCACAAGGCCAGCCCCCGGGGCAACGCGGGGCCCTGCTGCACGCCCACCAAGATGTCCCCCATCAACATGCTCTACTTCAACCGCAAGGAGCAGATCATCTACGGCAAGCTGCCCTCCATGGTGGTGGACCGATGTGGCTGCTCGTGAGTCGTGGGGGAGTCCTGCCAGGAGGGGGGGGGGGGGGGGGTGGGTGTCGTTGGTTGGGTGGGTTTGAGGGGATAGAGGAGGAGGAGGAGGAGGAGGAGGAGGAGGAGGAGGAGGAGGAGGAGGAGGAGGAGGAGGAGGAGGGCAGAGGCCAAGGCTGTGCTTCAGTCCAATCGACAAGACTCTTTGACACAACACATCTTCCATTACCAGTTTTTGTTTTCTTCTTCTTCTTCTTCTTCTTCTTCTTCTTCTTCTTCTTCTTCTTCTTCTTCTTCTTCTTCTCCTGCAGAACAAAGCAGTGTACTAGAGCCAGCGTATAGAGGCCGCAAAGCAGCCCCCTCGTTCTCTTTTTTGTTTTTTCCGTTGAGCTGAGCGTTACAAACTCACATGCATATCACATTCTTTTTCCTGTTTTGTATCTCCATGTTCTCTCTCTCTGTGTGACGTTTTAAACTTCAGAGGACCGATGGGGCAGAGGTTTGCGGGAACGAAAAATAGCACGGCGGCCTCAAGAGCGGACTTTTTTTTTTTACGACAGAAACTATGAAAATTATGAATTACTCTCTCTCTTTCTCCCTCTCTCTCTCTCTCTCCTGCGTTGGTCTGGGCTCCGTCCGTAAAAAGACGCGCCGACAGAAACACATTCATGTACATTCACACATTTACAGGAACGTCATCCGATCGTTGTGTGCCCCTCCTCGCCAGCTTCACGTGACTTTAGCTCCACTGTTGTCGTTTTTTTGTTTTTTTTTATGTCTTATATTGAATGTTGGTTTTCAGAGTGAAACCGGAAATCCTCATGGACTTTTTGAAAGCGCTTGGAAAAAAAATCTACCAAACCAAACACTCCTGAAAGTTATGTTTTACATTTGGGGAACAATGTAAAACTTTTAGTGTGTACGTAACCCGAACTTTACGCTTGTTCATAAATAGTCCACCGCATAAAGTTTTTATTCCACTTGCCGGTCGTTTCCCCAACTTAACTTTTCTTTTTTCTTTTTCTTTCGGTTTTGGAAAGATCCAGAATGTTGAACTTGTATAAAGGTGTGCATGTTAAGTAAGGTATGTTTTACCAGAGGGAGATGTCTCCATAACTCTCATAGCGGTTTATATGCACAGTGCCACACAGCATCCTCTTTACCATAAAGAATCTCCAAGATCATCACACAAAAACCCGTTTTTTCCCGGGACACTTGAATTACTATTAATACTCTGATGGGAAACTCACATTACTTTACAGAAAGACTTGAACTGAAGGCACGACGAATGCAGTCTACAGAAAAAAACAATGTGTTTAAGACAGACTAATCACTAATTGAGATGTTTGAATGATAAAATCACAGGAAACTCTGTCTTACAAACAACACAGTTTGCACTATGGCACACCAATAGAAGGAATTGGTTGCTAAAAAAAAAGTTGTAAAAATTGATTTTGATATGTTTGCTGATTTGTATTGTATACATATGCCATTTTCCATTAGCAGATGCCTTTTCCGAACCACTGTTAATAAATGTATAAGACCACAACCTAGCCAAGAAAGATGTACAACAGCAACTCGTGTATATGCGTTTAACAAATAAAGTTTCTAGCTTATTTGTTTAGCTCTGTTTCTTGAAGTTTTTTTATTGATCTCGTCAAATTTTTACATTCTCCACCAACTGCACATTTAGCCTTAATTGGTTTGGTTTCCATTGGCATACAGTTTTGCATGTCGTTCTGCAAAGGGGAGGATTGTCAGCATGTATCTGCATAAAGCACCAGCGTAGTCTAGTGGTGAGGGTGTTTGACTCCTACCCAAAGGTTTTGGGTTTGATTCCCCATGTGTCGCAGCTGACCTGTAGATATCCCTGAGCAAGACGCCCCCTAACCCCTACCTGCTCCTGTATCCAATGTGGATAGAAAAGACTGAATAGTAACTAAACAGCAGGATCAGGTCAATAAGCAAAGTGACAGACAGCATGGTGAGCACAAACACCTCATTTAAAGGCTTCCTGCTGGAAGTGATCGTTAACAGCAGAGAAATCCCTTAGAGACATGTCTTTTTCCCTAAATGATGTTGTTTCTGGGAGTGGGTCAGTGTAGAAAGACATTGTTGTCCAAAAACAATGTCTTTCGACAGCAGGATATTGAAGGTCAGAGTGTTGACCTTCTAGGGGTCAACCGTGTGCAGAGTGTACCTGTAGGCCCTCCTTGACAAGATGCCCAAACCCCCACCTGCTCATTAAGGACATGTATCTCAATTCACAATTCAAGTCACTTTGGATAAAAGCGTCATGCTAAATGACGAAATAGTAACATAGCAGAATCATTCACTTTTAGACGATGTCACCTCGTCGCACTTGGCGGCATCCACGACAACTTATAATCCATCCAATATGAGTCATCTTCATATGGATTTGGTTACACTGGAGATGGCCGGCTAAGTGTTGTGACCCCGGCCACTTCCCTTTCCTGCTGGGATCTGGAGCGTTGCCATGGCGAAGATGAAGGGTGATCTGCTCTCCAGCCACCCTCCACCCCATGCCCCTGTTTCTGTCCCTGCAATTACCAAGTATATATTTAACTCCAGAAAAAAGGGTTAAAGTGACAGTCGTAGAATATAATTCATAATTAGTGTATGAACAGGCTTTTACTGAAATTACAAAATGGCATAAAACACAAGTTACAAATGTGTATTTTGCCTTAGTTCTGCAGCACAAATTGGACAAATTTTAAAGTATGTGATACGTGCATATACGTAGACATGATACGTGATATGTGCTACGTGCATATGATACGTGCATATATATATATATATATATATATATATATATATATATATATATATATATATATATATATCATGACCATTTATGCACCATCTGGACATTTTTATGACAAATCTACTTGGAAAATCTGTTCTGGGAAAAAGCACAGCTTCCTAGAAGTGTACTGTTTCCACGTGTACTATAATGGAGCTGGACACAGACACTGGTGATCAACTCAGTTCATAGCAGCAATAATAAATTATGATAATCATCATAGGAATAATAGGAAGGATAACATCCCATTAAGAACACTGAATGATTAATGATTAAATGAAACTCAAATTATGGTATTGGATGGAAATACATAAATACAAAGCATCTACCATGAATTCAACGTTTTCATCGTTTGAGTAATGTTGCATCCCATCCCGTCTCGTAACCATTTGAGACTATAATTGACCATTGTGCATTGTGGAAACTGTAATTACTGTAAACTCTGATGAAATATAAGATTAGGCTTTGAATTCCATACTGTTCATGATGTTCACCAATGGGACATAAGTCTACAGAAAAACACCAAGTGATGATGCCATCCCAGAACATGGCAAATGTAGACTGGAGACCGTGGGGTTCGGCCAGTGTATTGACGACGTTCCCGGCCGAAAGGTCCTGGGTTCGAACCCCAATATCCACATTCTACCTGTAGGCATCCTGGAGGAAGATGCACACCCATACCTGCTTGTTACAAGTATCTAAAAAACATCACCGCTAAAAAAACGGCATCTACCAAATGAGACACATTGGTCTTCCAAGACATCTCAAAAGCAATACTTTAATATAGCCAGCGCTGTCGAACGGAGGAAGCACCGGTTCATTAATGTTTTCCACAGCAAGGTCCTCACTCCTCAAGGTTATTGTAAAGCAGTTGATTGTGTCAGGGCTTTCGGCATGGACGGGATATATAAGGGGGAAACATTAGGCCCGAAGATCTTCACCACGTCTGTCCAGGAGTATAGGACCCTGGAGGGCCAAGGCGGCCAGCGACATTCCACCTCTTGACAGGTGAGAGGAAGTGAGAGCGAGAGAAGAGGAAGGGATCGTGGGGGTGAGGGAGTAGTCCAACACAGCTGGAGACGGCGTTAGGGGAGACGGTGCAGCGTGCGACCCGCAGAGCTTCAGCAAGCAGAAAAGAGGTCATCATTAACATTGATTGATGGTGGTTCGCCTGTTACACAAGATGTTGTGTGACGAAGCACGGGGGTTATGAAGCTGTGAGCCGAGATGTGGCACTATTTTTAGGGGGACAGAAAGTCACGTGCGACCTACAGTTGCAGTGAACACAGAAAGTGTTTTTGTATTACCTTAGCATTGTTCGGTGGCCGTTTGTCACAAGATGTTGTGTGAATAAGCATTTTCTTGACGTAGTCCAGTACCCAAAGACAGAGTAGCAGCCCTTATAGGAATACTTAAGACAAAGACCATCAATGGGTCCATATTCTTTACCATTTAGAGCGATTCCTGATTCCCTTTACACACACACATATACAGTATATATATATATACACACGAAAATAACATCTTAATACAATATTTGTAATCTCTTTTCCAGGCCCTGAGCATCTATTCTAAAAACCCCAACGTGTTATTATGTTAAAGGTCCTCGCCATTGGTTATATTCATGCTTTATTGACTAAAATACTATTCACTGCATCCCCATAAGCACCAGTGCACGATTTAAACGCTCTAGATTAAGTTAATATCAACATTTTCTCTCATCTGAAAATGTTAGGCAGGCAAAAATGAACCGCTGGGTGGGCGTGTCAGGCTGGCTGAAAACAAACCAGCAGTTGAACTCGTTTGATTTTGAAAGTGTGCTAGTCGTGATGCTAACGCTAACACTAGATATGATGAACACAAATATTTGGCTAAAGTCTCTTTATTAGTCTTTTTATTTATTTCCTTTTTACAAGCCGGACACCTTTCACTGGCAAACGATTACTGGTTTGGTTTGTTTTGTTTTGCTTCATTACCTTTTAATCAGCAGCCGTTACCACTTATTGAGGGTTAGACAGAAGCGCTTCAGTTTTGACGAGTCAGGTATTGGGACTGACGCGTGGGAAAGTACAAGTTCATTCATCACACCTGTCAACCCTCCCGATTTTCCCGGGATTCTTCGTATTTTACACTTCTCTCCCGCTGTCCTCCTGTTTAAATATTTTCCCTTAAATCTCCCTTATTGTGTTTTCATTTCAATAATGCAGGGATTTTCACAGCATTTCACTTTTCAACCAGGTATCTGATTCTGACACCTAATCGTAGTCACCCTACTTAACGTAGGAACTAGTTAACCCCATCCTTGCTGCACTGATATTTTAAAGCAAGTGGTGATTTTAGGATTCATTGTGTGTCCCCTTGTCCAAATGTAAAGGGTATGTGGACAATAGTAATTGTCCACATACCCTTTACTTTAATTTTATTTTTTAATTTTGTTTATTTTACTTCCATACGTGTTTTTATAAATGCTAAATATGTTTAAACAATGTTTACATGCATTACAAAATGTGTTAGTTTGGATTCAAAGACTTATGGAGTTAGAACCAATCAGAGGTCGGGGTGAGAGAGAGTTCGAGAAGAACGCGGAAGGGCGAGAGACGTGAGAAATGGAGGATAACGCTGGACACGTGAATCACGTTAGAAGTTCAGTAAAACGCAACGGTTGCCAGGGAGCAGCCTGCTCGGTGGACACGTGACACCAGGACACTTCTTCTACGAGCCCAGTCTCTCCTGGACTTCCCTGCTGAGCTGCGACGACGGTCTCGTTCGCTGCCACGGCGTGGACGAGGACGACGACCAGCGCGAGCGGTGAGTTTTCTTTGTTGCGCATTGGCGCGAAGCGGCCATTGTGTTTTAGGCCTCACCGCTCCCAAGCGACGCTACGGGCCTGCAGCGTTGCCTCCGACTCTGACGTGGGTTTGGTGTGGTGTCTATTCCATTTCGTGGGATTTATTTTTGTTTTATGCCGGTGTCGTGCCAAAAAGTGATTGTCTGCCAGAATCTGATTTCTGGCCGTGGGAGCGCGCACAGCAGCCCGTTGAGCGGTAGCGCAAAAACGTCTGCTTTTCTCTGGATTAAACAGCCATAATATGCAGACACATACACATACACACAACGGTATTATAATGTAATTTTAGCAAAGGCACGTGTCTTCGAAAGTTTAACGTTTGTTCTTCAATCCATTTTTGGGAGGTGAAAATGCCTATTTTGTGTTAATGGTCCTTTAAAAGAATTCCAAGTGTCCTGTGAGCTCCAGTGTTTATATTATGAAGCTTATGAATGAGATCAAGTCATATTTAGGCAGAAACCTTTGAGTCACCTTTGAGTAACTGTATTTGGCTTTCAATCAATTTCTGGCAGACAATCACTTTTTGGCACGACACCGGCTTAGTTTTAGGTCTGAAAAAGGGGTAATACTGTATTGAACTGTGTTTCATTTCCCTTGCAATTGAACTTTCAATTTAACGCTAATATGTTATTATGTGTCAAGGTGAATTTCTATATAAATTGTCTAAACTGAATGATCTTGAATATTTGCATGTTATTGGGTGTTTTGATATTGATAACACTACCAGTGAGTTAAACAAATGGTTAAGGGGTAAAAATAGTAATTTAATTAAAAGCTAAAATTCATTCAAGGAACAAACATTAGTATTGCATTAAGCTGCATACCTTTAGTGCATTAATTAACAGAGAGAGAGTGATCTCACAAAAGAATTCGGGAGCGCACCTCAATATTCATAGCTAAGGGCAGCTAGGGGGCGCTACACAGTCCGGTCCCCTTGTCTAAATGTAAGGGGTGTGTGGACAGTAGTAGGGGTGGTGGGACAGTCCTGTCCCCTTGTCTAAATGTAAGGGGTGTGTGGACAGTGGTAGGGGTGGTGGGACAGTCCTGTCCCCTTGTCTAAATGTAAGGGGTGTGTGGACAGTGGTAGGGGTGGTGGGACGGTCCTGTCCCCTTGTCTAAATGTAAGGGGTGTGTGGACAGTGGTAGGGGTGGTGGGACAGTCCTGTCCCCTTGTCTAAAT